AACGGATGGAAACAGTGCTGTGGCCTGCACGACAAGTGAAGACAGGCCGTCTAAGTATCTAAGTAAGTAAATATTGGCTTATTGATATTTCCGCAGTTTTCGCTCCAGATAGCTGAGAGTTGGTGCACTGGAGTAAGTTGATATGTTGGTTACAAATATCATAACCACTTAGAGATTTATCGTTTGTATCTATTGATTTATTGTTTTTCGCACTGGTCAAAGAACTGAGGGTTGGTGTATGGAGTAACCTAACATGCCAATTACGAGTTTGATAATCTCTCAAAACTCAGATCGATTTTATTGATTTTCCGATTTTCCGCGCTTTTTGTTTTGAGGAGGTGGCAGTTGACGTACTGGGGTAACTTCATATGCTAATTACGAATTTGATAACCACTGGAAGGTTTACCAATGTATTTCATCAATTTAGCGGTTATTCGCTTTGAATACTGGAAAGTGGCGAACAGTGGTTTGTTAATAAGCTTACGAGTATGATTCTCATGCGCAATATACTTCACTGCTATTTTCGTAGCTTTTTATTAATGCAGAGATGTGCTGACATGCTGAACAGTACGATGTTACTTTCTTTCAGCCTGGGTCTGCTAAGAGAGAATTTTTCTGCTGGAAATCCAACTAAACTGTGCTTCTTTCAGAAAAAATTAATTAAAAACTATTCACTACTCTGAAACAGCCGAGCGTAGCCGGGTATGCAAGCTAGTTAAGAAATAATTTAGCTTTCAAAATGAACTAAATCTGGGGTTTGGCAACGTGTGTCCTACATGTTCGTAACGTCCTTTGGCAGTACGCAAGGATTATCCGTTGATGGGCGGAACTGTTTGTAGCGAAGACACTATCGTAATAATGTGCCTTGCAGGCTCTGCGCCATCTTGCACCGATCACGGGTATCCTTTCCCTACTTCAATGAGGAATTCGTGATGTTATAAGTAAGGTATTCTAGGTGACAGAGAACTGAAGGTTTCCAGCCAAAGGGAGAAGGACGAAGGGAGGAAGAAATGGGAAAGGAGACCTTACCTTGGGGAATGTATGTTGACATTCTTATGGGCGGTGTAAAGTGAGATCAGGATAAGTGCCACTAATTACTTTTGCTTGCTTATTATTAAGATTTGGCCA